GCCGAGGGAAGAGGCGACAAGGACTCTCAAGGGCCAGAGGAAGGGACTGAGGGAGAGGACCAACAGGTTTCAAAAAGAATTGGCTCGGCTCGGTGTTTTGCGTGCCATTTTGAATGATTTTGGTTTTGATAGTCAATAAAAGTCAATCCTTGGTCTGGTTAGCTTTGTGTAATTCTGATTGCAATTTCAGAATTATTCACTGTGGCCCTTGCTCTCAGAATGGTGCTCATTAGTTGGGATTTTGTTTTACTTCCATGCATAGTTCGCTCTTCAGTCGAGGTAATTACTGTTAATGAAGAATGACTCCGTATTCTTACATTAGCATGCTTCACGATTTTTAATGGCAATTAGTCTTTGGTGTTTAAGACATTGAGTTTGGGGTTAATGTTTTAAATCATATGGGGAGAAATTAAATAAGCCAACTGATTACATTTTTTAATAAGAAGGACTAGATTTTGAAAATCTTAATTACAATTAAAATAAAAACTCGGAAACTAAAATCATACTGATTTGGGGAAACTGGGTATTTAATAAATTTAGCTTTGTATTGAATTAGACTTGAAAACCTCTCCCGTCTTCATCCTTCTATAAGTGTTTAACATATTTACTTGAGATTACAGGGTTTTTTCCTTAAGCTGACTTGATTTTTTTAGAAGCTTACATGGATTTTTCTTAATACATGCTTATTTTAGAAAACATAGATAAGAAATAAAAAATCACCCATAATCCCAAAGAGTACCACTGTTAGCAGTTTGGTACATTCCCTTCTAGACTTTTCCCAACTGTGTATATATGTATAAATACATTACAACAATAGGATATGATGCATATTACTGTGAGTGTTTTAATATCTCATCAACATCGCTTCTCAGTAATTTACAATTACAAAATGGCTGCCTGGTGTACCATTTTTCTACTGTTTGGAATTTTATGCTTCTCCCCTCCTTTTTGTTTGTCTGTGTTTTTTTGAGTTTTTCTTTTTTTCTCCCTTTTTAAATTTTTGAGGTAATCGCTTCCAGGGTTTTTTGTTTTTATTTTCTCAAATGTTTTTTTATTGTGGCAAAATACACAAATAATAAAATATACCATCTTAACCATCTTTAAGCGCACAATTCAGTGGTACTAAATGCATTTATAATATTGTACAACCATCACCACCATCATCTCCAGAACTTTTTTCATCTTGTGAAAGTGAAATTCTATATGCATTAAACAACACCCCATTCTACTCTCCCCAAAAGCCCCTGGAAACCATTGTACTTTCTGTCTCTATGATTTTGACTAAGTACCTCATATAAACAAGATTATACAGTATTGATCCTTTTGTAACTGGCTTATTTCACTTATCTTTAAAAGTTTGTCCATGTTATAGCATATATCAAAATTCCGTTCCTTTTTAAGGCTAAATAATATTTCATTGTGCGTATATAACACGTTTTGTTTAGTTATCTGTTGATGGACACTTGGGTTGCTTCCATATTTTAGCTATCATAAATATTGTTGCTCTGAACATGTGTGTACCAATATCTCTGCTGGACCCTGCTTTCAATTTTGGGGGGTATATATTCAGAATTGCTGGATCATATGGTAATTCTATTTTTAACTTTTTGAGGAACTGCTATACTGTTTTCTATATGGCTGGGCCATTTTATATCCCCGCCAACAGTGATAAGGGTTCTAATTGCTCCACATTCTCCCCACCACTTGTTTTCCATTTATTTTGTTGTTTATTTTTTGGTTTTGGTAGTAGCCACCCTAATGAGGGTGAGGAGGTATTTCATTGTAATTTTGATTTGCATTTCCATAATGATTAGTAATGTTGAACATCTTTTCTTGTGATTATTGGTTATTTGTGTATCTTCTTTGGACAAATATCTGTTCAAGTCCTTTGCCCATTTTCTCTTATTCTGTGGGTTGCCTTTTTACTCTCTTGATACTGTCTTTTGATGTACAAACTTTATTTTCGTGAAGTTTTCAATTCATCCATTTTTCTTTTGTTGCCTGTGTCTTTAGTGTCATATCCAAGATATCCATGGCAAAGCCAATATCATGAAATTTGCCTTATGTTTTTTCTAAGATTTCTATAGTTTAAAGTCTTATTTGTAGGTCTTTGATCTAGTTTTAGTTAATTTTTGTGTACAGTATCAGCTAAGGGTCCAACTTCATTCTTACATGTAGCTATCCACTTTTCCTGGCATCCTTTGTTCAGAAAAGTACGCGTTTTTCATTGAATGGTCTTTTGACAATGTATGTAAGGGGTTATTTCTGGACTATCTACTCATTGGTCTGTATATCTGCCATTACCCCTGTACCACACTGTTTTTTTATTTCTGCTAAAACTGTCACTGGGATTATGATAGGGATTAAGCTGTAAATCTCTTTGGGTAATACTGACATCTTAACAATATTAGGTATTTCAATCCATGAACATAGGATGTGTTTGCATTTTTTAAATTTCTTTGAACATAATTTTAAAGTTTTTATTGTACAAGTCTTTTACCTCCTTGATTAAGTTAATTCCTGGATATTTTATTCTTTTTTGAAGACAATTGTAAATGTAATTGTGTTCTTAACTTCCTTTTCAGATTGTTCATTAGTTGTATATAAGTGCAACCAATTTTTGTGTGTTGACTTTGTATTCTGTTACTTTATTGAATTCATTTATTAGTTCTAACAGTTCTTTGGTAGAAACTTTAGGGTGTTCTACATGTAAGATCACATACTCTGTGGACAAAGATTATATTACTTCTTCCTTTCCAATTTGAATGTGTTTTATTTCTTTTTCTTGCTCAATTGCTCTGGCTTGAACTTCCAGTACTATGTTGAATAGAAGTGGTGAAAATGGGCATTCTTGTCATGTTCCTGATCTTAGAGGAAAATCTTTCAGTCTTACCATTAAATATGATGTTCACTGTGAGGTTTTCATATATGGCTTTTATTATGTTGAAGTAGTTTCCTTCTATTTCTATTTTGTTGAATGTATTTATCATAAAAGGATGTTGAGTTTTGTCAAATGCTTTTCAGCATCAGTTGAGATGATCATGTGTTTTTCCCCCTCCATTCTATTAATGTGATAAATTATATTGATCATTTTTCATGTGTTGAGCCATCCTTGCATCCCAGGAATAAATCCCACTTGATCATGGTGTATAATACTTTTTTTAATATGGTGATGAAATCAGTTTGCAAGTATTTTGTTGAGGATTTTTACATCAGTATTCATAAGGGATATTGGTCTGTAGTTTTCTTATAGTGTCTTTGGCTTTCATATGAGAATAATGCTGGTTTTATGAAATGTGTTTTGAAGGGTTCCCTCCTCTTCAGTTTTTTCGAAAAGCTTAAGAATGATTAATATTAATTCCTATTTAAGTGTTTGGTAATATTCACTAGGGAAGCCCTCAGGTCCAGGACTTTTCATTATTAGGAGATTAAAAAAATAATTTTTAATGTTTATTATTTTTGAGAGAGAGACAGACAGAGAGCAAGCAGGGGAGGGGCAGAGAGAGAGGGAGACACACAATCCGAAGCAGGCACCATGTTCCAAGCTGTCAGCACAGAGCTGGACACAGGGCTTGAACTCACAGACCACAAGATCATGACCTGAGCTGAAGTTGGCCGCTCAACCAACTGAGCCACTCAGGCGCCCCTGTCAGGAGATTTTTGATAGCAGCTTCAATCTCTTTATTACAGGTCTATTCAGATTTTCAATTTCTTCATGATTGGTAGTCTTGGTAGGTTTGATTTCTGGAATTTGTCCCATTTAGTGTAGGTTATCCACTATGTTCAAAGTACTCTCTTATATTTATTTCTGTAGACTCAGTAGTAATGTCACTACTTCATTTCTGATTTTAGTAATTTCAGCCTTTTCTCTTTTTTTCTTAGTCCATCTAGCTAATGTTTTGTCAATTTTGTTGATCTTTTGAAAAATCAACTTTTGGTTTCATGGATTTTTTCTAATGTTTTTCTGTTCTCTATCTCTGCTTTAATCATTATTCTTACCTTCAGCTAGCTTCAGGTTCAGGTTTTTTTTTGTTTTTCTTTTTTGGCTCCTTAAGTTGTAAAGTTAGGCAGTTGATTTGTGGTCTTTCTTGTTTTTTAATGTAAGCATTTGTAAATTTTTCCCTTAGCACTACTTTTACTGTATCCTGTAAGTTTTGCCATGTTCTGTTTTTTTCATTGAGCTCAAAGTACTTTCTAATTTCTCTTGTGATTTCTTTTTTGATCCATTGGTTAAGAGTATGTTGTTTAATTTCCACAAATTTGTGACCTTCTCAGTTTTATTTTTGATATCTAACTTCATCCTGTTATAATTGGAGAAGAGACTTTGCATGATAATCTATCTTTTTAAATCTATTGAGACCTAATTTGTGGTCTAACATCTGGTCTATTCAGAAAATGTCCCATGTGCATTTGAAAAGAATGTGTATGCTGTTGTTGGATGGAATGTTCAATGTATGTCTGTTAGATTTACTTGGTTTATTATGTTACTTAAGTCCTGTATTTCCTTATCTTCTGTCTAGCTGTTGTATCCATTATTGAAAGGGTGGTATTCATGTCTCCAACTATTATTATATGGCTGTTTATTTCTCCTTTCATTCTGTCAGTTTTGCTTTATCTATTTTGATGGTCTGTTATTAGGATTATTCAGGACTCAGCCCTTTGAGCCTGTTGTGGAACTTTAGGTCCCTCTAGTGTCATGGTTAGTGACTCTGCTTAGTCTAGGCAGTGTTATAATTTACAGCATTGGATCAATGGCTTTTCCAATTGGCTCACTTTTGAAGTGTGAAAGTGTCTGTTCATGTCAACCCAATTTCAGTTTATAGA